ATTGCTAAATAGATATTGTAATTATTAAAATTATTAAATTTAAATTGATTACATTAAAATTACAAAAAAAACGTGCAATTTTATCCAATATGAAAACAACAACAAATTTCAATATAATTTATCAATAAAAAAAAATATATATATATATATATATATATTTAAAACGCCGTTAAGAATTAATAAATTTCTAAATTGACGTTTTGCATTCTTTAACTTTATTGCTGAATAGATTTTGCTCTCTCTTTCTTTCTTTCCATTTTTTTTTTTTTTATTATTTCTGAATGGGTGAATGGGGAGAAAAAAGGGGAAGAGAGGAGGAGGAGGAGGAGGAGGAGGAGGTGGAGATGAAGAGAAAGATAGAATGACAGAGAAGACTGTGTGTGCAAACATAAAATGGGACAAAATACATACGAGAAGAAAATCATCGGGCGAGTGAACTTTCTACACCAAGCTCCGTAACATTCCTAACAATTTCTTCAACGAGTGAAACACTATTTACTCCTTTCCCTCCTTCACCCTCCTCCTCCTTCTCCTCCTTGTCCTCCTACGCTTTAATATCCAACAAATGTTTCAAAGAAATTAAAAAAAGAAAGGAAGAAAGAAAGAATGTTAAATAAACATCGACAATTAGTACGTCGATTTCTGTTTTTTTTTTTTTGTTTTTGGTTTCATTTTTTAACAAACTTACATCAAACTGTTTTTGTTTTTTTTTTTTTTTGTTTTTCTTATCCTTCAGAATGAAAGAATAATTTGATGGACAATCTGAAAAGAAAAAAAAAAAGAAAAAATAAAAGATAGAATTTATTCATCAAATTGTCAGAATAATCTAACGATGTATTATTATAATAATAAAATATTGTTGTTTTGTAAAGAATAAATTAAAAATAAATTGAAAATCTGTTGTATTAATTTTTCAACTTTTTTTTTTTTGTTTTTTGTTGATTGAAATCAATCGAATAAAGTAATAAGATATTTTTTCTTTTTTTTTGGTTATAACGATGATGATGATGATGATAAAGTTCTGTTCTTTTTTTTTTTATATGACATTGTTATTATTATTATTATTATTGAATGATTGATTGATTGATTGATTGGTGTATTTATTAATAGAAAATATATCATTGTAATTGTAAATGTTGGGTACACGTGTAAGTGTTGACCTTTTAAAATTTTATATAATAACTTCAGGTAAAAACACCAAGAATTCAAGTCGACTTTGATGGGATCGTGAGAAAGATGATGATAATATCCTTTTTTTTTTATTTTTGATCTTTGTGAAATTTCACTGAGAAATACATTTTCTTTTCTTTTTTCTGACCCAATTTTCTTTTTTCTTTTTTTGTTTTTTTTTGTTTTATTTTAATCTTACAATTGGAAATTAATTATCAAAACATCTTTTGGATAAATACTTTCAAGGAAAAGTATTTTTAATTATTAATATAAAATTGAAAGTTTAATGTAAATAATTTATCTCATTTTTTGTTTTTTTTTGTTTTTTTTTTGTTAATGGTACAAATGTAATTGCAAATGAAATTGTTTTGTTTGAAAAATTCGTGACAGAAAATATTACAATAAATGAATAAAAAATTTTTTTAAATTAATTTATATTTTATTTTATAATATTATAAATTATTAATAATAATAATAATATTTATTATAATATTATAAATTATTAATATATGAAATATTATTTGAAATAATTTTATGATTTAATTTGAATTGAAATTAATATTTAATTATATTTATTTTTAATATTTCATATCACAAATAAACTTTTATTTAAATTATAAATTTATTAAATATATATA